AAAGAAAGAAAGAAAGAAAGAAAGAAAGAAAGAAAGAAAGAAAGAAAGAAAGAAAGAAAGAAAGAAAGAAAGAAAGAAAGAAAGAAAGAAAGAAAATCCAAATTCTCCCGAACAAATGGGTCTGCCTTAAAAACCAAAATACAGCCTGATAACTTTCACCTATAGAGGTCGTGCGAAACAAATCAAGTCGAACTTCACTTCCATATCGTCCAGCTTTTTGATCAGTTGTCTCCTTTCAATATCATACCTCTGACAATTCAAGAAAACATGTTCTATTGTTTCCTGTTCCCTACTGCAGTCCCACTCCCCTGTACAGTCTTTACCTATTAAAAACAACGTGCTATTTAAACCAGTGTGTCCGAATCTCAGTTGAGATATAATCATCTCCTCTCTCCTGTTTCCACGTGATGTGGAATTGGATTACGTACATGTTACATAGTTACTTGAGCATTTTTTCTTCGATGTGTCCCGATTCTTTTTAAATGTGCTGAGAATAAACAACCAATACACAGAGTAGATCCAGTCAACAACAATTATTTATTAACACATATGTGGGAGATGTACTCAACGTCACCCTCTGCGTAGATCTCAAAGAGGAAGCACAGATCATGCTGTTTTATATATCAGAGTTCACGCCCCCTCATGTGTAAGCAGATACATGCATCAGTTACCGTTAGTGACAGTTAGACAATTCCTTTTTCGGTGATTTTCTGCAATTGCTTAGTAATCTATCTTAACTGGATCTTGTCCGCTGTTTCCTGTTGTTCTCTTTTAGCAAACCGCAGGCAATGCTCTCTGAAACTCTGCACAAAGCTTCCTGTTGTCCACAGTTTCAGTCTTGCCTATGACACAGTTTATAACTGAAAAGTGACCTCTAATATACTGGCTTGTTATTAAATGCATAAAACAAAATACACAACAAATAAGCACTAGAAAATATATTTTCCTAATAGATGGATCCAGCAAGGAAGAGAAGATTTACCCCTATCTGGCAACATTTTGATCTCATCTCTCCTAAGGTATGCAGACAGTAATAAATATCACAAATGATAAGTACCATAATATAAATAAATAACACCACAGATGCTATAATCTGATTTCTGTCTTTTGGTTTATTAAAAGGTGAAGCACCATACACTAGTTTGTGTCATTATCCAGATGTACGTAAGCATGATTACACAGTTACACCATCATACCAAAACTCATTCTTGATAGTTTCCGCTTTCTCTTTTGTATCAGACATACTGAGACAATATTCAGGATAAATAACCATGAAAACAATTTATTTAGTCAGTTTAGAGGTTTACACATCACATTATTATAATCATTGAGCCTGTTTCACTTGCGTCATCCACTTGATGGCGCAGTAGAGCAAATGAATCGTCACAATGCTTCGAAAAATGAGTTGACCAGAAGCTGGAAAGCTTCAGTTCATCACGAGGCTTCATCTGACCATCACTACCACTGACATATCCATTTCCGCGTCGTTCACCGGCAGCGCCCCCAGCGACGAGGAGGCTGAAACTGCTCTTTACAGCCTCTGCAAAAAACTGAATAGTGCAGATAAATGGCACATATAACATAAAATACAGGGTGGGCCATTTATATGGATACACCGTAAT